TTTTCAACTTGCTCGCTGATTATTATGTTAGGGTACCTGAGAGTGGAAAACAAATCCTTCATCTGATTCTCCAACTCTGGAGCCAGTCATTTGCATCACATATTTTCTTTCTTTTGTTCCATAAATGGGTATGCAGCTTGGCTCTGTTCCAGTAATTTTTTTCTCTCTTTTCTATTCATGAAGAATCACATTTGTTACTGATCTTTAATATAGCAATACAGTTCTCGCATTGGTCTTTTGAGAACTCGATATAAACCCATATTTTCCTTGCCTGATTGCTTGTTGAATGGCAGCAAGGAAGCCCTGTCAAGATTGCTTCTTTGCTGCTGTATTCGTTTCAGAAGTAGATAGTCGAATTGACCTGCTGTTTGCTATTCCTTTTGTAATGCAACTTATTTGAACTGCTCCACTGATAAAACAGTATAGGCTGCAAGTGAGCTAGTAGCTCAGCTGGCAATAGTCAAGTGGTAAGCAGTTTACTAGAGGGAGAGGACATTCCTAGTTCGAACTCTACCACTTGCATCTCTCAATCCACATGTAAGTGTGTAATCGATTGGAGACCTCGAGTTGGCGGGCTCTCTCCCGTGATTTGGCTCTTGGGAGTGGCTGTCCGCCCATGGGTCGCGTCCATGATATCAGAAAAAACAAAAAAGAAAAAACAGTTTAGGCTCTGGTGGGTTGTAAGTCTGACTGTTCCAAACTGGTCGAAAATATATTCTAGAATCGTTTGCAATAGCAAGGGTGGAAATGAAAATGGTTGAACTTGTTTTTTTAGCTCTATAGGAAAAAGAAAAAGAAAATGCTAGGTTCTCAATCTATGCTAGTTTTCTTTACATTTCCAAAAGTTTTGTTCTTAAGGTGCATGACTGCTATTATTACCAGAATTCACATAAATTTTCGATTTATGAGATACCAATACAGTCTTGTATCCCAGAGTAGACCCTATTTTCACATTTGACCTGTCTTAAATCTCCAGCAGTGACTCCTAACATGTGCAAACTATGTTTTGTGGCTTCTAAGGTTATATTAGGCCTTGTTTTCATCACTTTTTGTGTTGTAGATCAAAATAGAAGTTATTAAATTCAAGTTTGGGCTTAAATGAAATACCACTTTATTTTCACTTGTTTTGGGAAGCTGTTGCTATTAAGAAAAAAATGAGTGGTTTTAAATTTGAGTCATAACTTAGTTATGTATATTTCCTGATTCAAAACTTTCGTTTCATTTGGTTTGCTGAATCTATGTGAATACTGGTTCTGGTTTATGTGCTCCAATAAGATTCAGATGCAGGTGTAGTTAAAGGTTATCAAATGGGTTGCTTTGCATGAATACAATTTGAAAGTTTTTTTTTTTATGTTAACCATCCAAATTTATTTGAAACATTAAAATTTATTGGGAAAGTATAATGCTATATTCCATCAGTTGTGGCCATATAATGCTGTGTTGCACTTGTATGTTTTCTGCAGCTTTTTGAAGCCCAGCTGGATAATACTGAAGTACTTCTACGTTTCTCATCTGCTCTTGTTCAAGGTGCTACAGATGTTTTCTGGTATGAATATCAGTGAGCTCAGATTGGTAGTCATTTAGTGCTGCTAAATACTAATGAGTGTTGGAAATTTTGTGGATCATGCTGATCAATACACAAAACTATTAAAGAAAATGAGTTTCATTCTTCGTTGTGCTTTTTTTTTTTCTTAATATGGACTGGGACATATTGTTAATTGTGAAGGACACTCTCAAGATTCAAAATTCTATTTGCTCCATATGTTACTTCCTTTTTGTTTTCTTTCCAGATGGATTTGGGTTGATCTATGAAATCAATTCAATGCATGGAAACAGTATTTTGACTAGTGGATCATAACTAATTAAAATTCAAACTGCTTAGAGTCTGTGGCTTGTACCATTCTGTGAAGGGGTTTTTCTTTTCAAGAAGAAACGAGGATAAGGTTTTTCATTATTCATTGAGGAAAAGTTAAAGAAAAAAGAAGTGAAGACAAAAAAAGGAACTTTGATATTCATTTAACTTCTGGCGTTTCTATCAACCTCTGTAGCTGTTTCATTGTGCTATGATTGATTCCTGATATCCTGCTGTTATTATAACCTTTGCTCCATGGGAGTTTAATCAATTTCAAAGTGTCTTATTGTTGCATTAACAGAGAGCATCCTTGCTTCTTCCTTTTTTTCCTCTCCAACCAAATTTCTGGATCCCTTGCATCTGAAATTTGGTGCCGCCACTGAAAATCTATTTTTTCAAAGGGAGTCATAGCAAACCGAAGTATGGAAGTACTTTAATATCATTAGTTTCAATTGAACTTTTACATGTTATTGAGTGCTGTCAATAAAAGTTGCGTGTCCAGTTGATTACTGTACAAACACCATTCGGTAGAATCATAAACTAGGATTTAACAAACATTATATTTTCCCTTTCCATGTTTTTGGTTTGAAGATATCTCACTGCTCTCTTCTACCATTCCATCCATGCAACAATGACTTGAACCTTTGTGGTAAAACTTTGCAGGATTGACATCCAAACAAACAAAAGGCATTTCCAGTCCCTATTTCAGGCAAGTGTCCTTCCAACATAGTAATTTAACCCCTTCAACTGGATATACATGGGTAAAATCTTGGTCTCTGTATAATTATTCTATTCTTCCTCCTTTCTTTACTTTTTTCCTTGTTGATTTCAGTATCTCCTTGATGAAGTTGCCTTGGCGCCTATGCGGTTGAATAAAATTCCGGTGCAGGTCTGGCATTGATGCACTCTTTTTTATCTTACATGCCAATTGTTTTTATGTATGCTTGCCTTCAATTTTACTTCCAGAAAAATATGGTGTGGACTTCAAAATTTCCATGAACGCATTTGCGTTTGAAAATAATATGTCATCTTTCATTAAATCAGGCCCAGCGAGAACTGTTTCTTTTGCTATCAAGGTTCACCCTCTTTTACAACTCAGGCAAGCTTTCTAACTTGTATAGATTCAATATTGAACAACAAACGGGTTATCATTTTATAATATGATCTATGCAGTTGACAAGCACGAGAGCTTCTTAAAACAGTTTCCTGTTTTTCTAAATGCTTTCTTGGTTGGTGGCCCTGCAGACTTCTTTGTTATTGAAGTTGCAGACCAGGTATATTCTGTGTATTCAATCTTAGGGCATTTATTTTCTGAAGAGTTGGTTATTTTATACCTGTAGAGAATTCATTTGTGTATTCATACGGTTTCCAAATTCTTTTGCCTGCCAGCTTCAAAAGTTAAAGGTGGAACCAGTTCTATTGCATTACCTTTCACACATTAAAGTTCTCCAAGGTGGTATTATCCGTCACTTTCCAAAATCAAAGTGTCTAACATTGAATTGACCTGATATAAACAATTGCAGGTTATTCTGAATAGGGTAATGTAATTAATTTCTTCAGGCTTGGAATTGAGAATGACCACAAGTACAAGATTGAAGGCATGTTTGTATAGCTTCACTTCTCCTGGTGGTCCAATGTATCCCACAAGAGCTGTCCGTCATGCCGCCTGGGATTCTTTGGATTTGCTTTTCCCTGTGAGTGCTTTTATCCCTGGTTGTTAGCATCATCGACACGGTTCCTAATCAAATTTCATCAAGTAAATGTCATGAAAGTGCATATTTTGGTATCAACTTTACAATCAATAAGCCATACTCTTTAAGCAATGCCGGAGCTGTAATAAATGATGCACTGCTTAAGATGATTAGGTGCATTCTTTAACGATCATGCCTGGATAATATTTATATTTAGAAAAGGAACTTCAGTGGATCCATGATTCCACATTCCTAGTACATGCCTTTCATGTCGTTGGCAATAATATTAATTGCCTGCCACAGGTCGGGCAGTATCCTCGACATCTCATAAGCCTCTTTTTTCGACTCCTGTATCCATGGTGCTGGCCCTCTTCATGTTGGAGTTTCATAATATCTTGCATTAAGGCGGTATTCTATTCTCTGTTGGGGCTGTTGTTTTCTAGCTGGTATAAGCTGAGAGCGCCAAAGAACTACTGAATGGTGATGACAAAATATCCGGTGTCTTGGCTCCCCTGAAGCCTGAACTTGCAATTTCAGCTTGAGATGTATAACATTCCATGTTATTTTGTGTTGTATAAGTGCTATTCTTTTGCCTTAGCTACCCTCTCATTGTAGCCTATGAGGGTATTGTCCATATGTTCTTACCCGTTTGAAAAAAAAACATTTATATATTATAATTGGATGCATAAATAAATTGGATTCTTTGACATCATTCTTCTTGGTCAAATTTATTTGAGGTGCACGTGTCAAATCTCTCCCTCGAACACCCAAGGAATTCTGCACGATTAGCATATGGACCGGTTTTGAGAATGTAATTATAATTATTTTATAAAGTATTTTTTATTTATAAATATATTAAAATAATATTTTTTTATAAATTATTTTTAAATCAATACATCAAAATAATATAAAAAAATTAATTTGTCGTAAAAAATAAAAAAAAACTTATTTTTAAAACATAAAAATAATATTTTTACATGTTAAATGGATTGTCAAGATAGATAAATAAATAAATAAGCCATCAAACAACCTTTGCAAGGTTTATGGGAACAACAGTTAAAAAACAAAAAAATTCTATCCTATCAAAAAATAAGGAAATAAGTCAAGATAATAACTATTTCATGTATATCAAAAAACTACCAACTAATATTCATATTTATGGTAATCTAATTATAAATTTTTTATTTTATTTAAATTAAAAATTATCAAGAAGAAATTATAATTATCAGCTTAAGAAAATAAATATTTTATATTATATTTCTAATTAAAAAAAAGTAAATTTATAACACTCATTAAATATGCTTGCATATAAAAGAAGAATACCATATTATTCATTATTTTGATTTTTTTTTAATTTGAAAAACAATGACAAGCATCCAAAAGAAAATCGTATCGAACTTCAAAAATATATTTTTCAAACTTAGTACAAATTTAGAAAATATGAGAAATAGTCTTCAAATTTGTTTTTCTTTCCAAAAAAATTGGAATACTGCTATATTTCTCAACAGCACCAAACTAACTCCACGAAATGACATACAATTGTTGGTTAGGAATATAGTGGACTTAGCAAGAGCAGTGGTCTGGATGCAATTGCAGCTTTCAAATTGCAATTCAAGAAGTGTTGGATTTACCCTCTCGTGCCCAAGATGATTTGCGCAAGCATAATGACTATCAAGGGTCAACCAGCTGCATTCTGACCCAAAAGCAGGAGCTTCGAAGAATGCAGAAGGCAGTGCAAAGCTCTCACTCGTCAGTGTAGTTTAACCAGCACCCAGACATTCCAGCTGCAAACCATATTCCAAGCTCTATATCCACCTACGTTTTCAACATCATCAGGTTGAATGAAGCAGAGATGCAAGTTGCAGTCCCTATTATGAGCTGCATCAGCAGTCATGATTCATCAAACAATCAGGGAACTGATATTTCACCGGACAGAATAGATGCAGCTTACTCGAGAACCTGAACATTAAAAAACCAACATTAACAAGGGGCCAGCACGAACAGTTAAAAGCGATGGAAGAAATATGAAGAAATCTACCTCCATATCTCCCTGATTTTACTATGAAGAGGGAACCAATTGACATCACAGCATGGCGCAGCTCGTGACAAAGTTTGATTCTCTGACCTTTGTAGACAAAATTTTCTGTCAAAGAAAATAGTTCTTCCGACCCCAACCTATAAAATCACGAAGCTAAACAAAAAGCAAAAGGTGCATTATATAGAGATAGCTGCCCATCAACCCACATCAAAGAACAATACGCAATAAAAGCCCAAACTTCCACAATAAAGATTCTAATAGTTTTCTCTAACAAGTATTTACGAAATCACTAATACAACTTGGATGAGACATAGAAGATAGCTCCATTGCTGCATGATCAAGCACACAAAAGCAATGCACGAAAGATGTAGGCACTACCACCAAGACACCAGAAATGACTTCAATTTATCTGCATTGATTCTGAACGATACTTCTCTAAATATGCATCAAGATCTTCAGCAGATACCTTTTCACCACAGCCCCTTCCACATCAAGGCCCCTTCCAAGTCCGCCGCCGCCACCACGTAGTTGTCCCAATGCACCACCCCTACTTCATACACTGCAGAATAATCAAATGGAAACCCATGAATGAACAAGAACAATAACAATTCTAGTACATTTCTCTGGGTGAGGACACATACCAGCATATTCCAGTCTTGGTACCAAATAATAGTTGCATTAATAATATGTTGAGGTCTTTTTTCCTTAGTTTAAAAGAAAAATATGCTCGGATGATAAATGAAATTGCATTCCACTCGCATACAGATGTAGATGTAAGAATCTTACAATTCATGTTATGAATCTGAAAATCAACCATGAACTCAATCACACAAAACAGTATGAATTGCTGGGTGACCTGGATATGGATATTAATTGTGTGATTCAGGCACAGTTTGTTTTGAAACTCTGAATTCCATGACTCAACCAAATTAAAGAACAAATACTAACAAAGAGATGATTAAAAGAGGATCTGCATGATGCAGGACATATTTGATTGTCCTACAAGTGATTTATGGTGGTTTTGAGTTTGGAAAATTGGAGATTTTAGGGTTTCCATCAAAGCAAAGGATATGAGGTTTGTAAACTGAAATATGGATGAATGCGCAAGGCAGATAGAAGTTTTAAAAACAGGCAGTTATATAACATAACAGTCACTATTTGATGAATTCGGACAACCTCCTTCAATTTTCTGCCATTACAGAGGATGCAACAACGATTCATATAAAAATCAGCCCTAACAGCATTATATAACAGTAACAGCTGTTATGGCTGTTATTTGAAGATACAACCCATTATTTAAAAAAAAAAAAAAGTTCTTGATAGTTTTGGTTGACTTCCGTTTGTTCTTATTTCCAAGATTCCACACAAAAGAAGCAATTCCAACTTCTAGTAATGTAGTAGTAGTACATTGAGACTCATGCTCAGTTAACTTCTTTTTTTCCTTCTTTCTCTCTCTAGTTACTCAACTCTCTTTCAACCTTCTTCACACAGTTATTTTTTATTATCTCACCAAATCAAATACAAAGTTCAATTATTTGATGGGGAAGATACACCCTTACTTATAACAAATTGAGGTCATTATGATATTTTGACATAGTACAGCAGGCACCACCAAATCCAAGACCTCAAAGGCAGAAAAAGCATCTACCATACACGAATGTCAGTCAGACTAGCTTTTAAGTTCTAAACAACCGATGTACAGCGAAGCCCACCAAAATCACGCACAACACAAGATTTCAAGATCATATGCATAAGGAAAAATGAAAAGGCCCTTAGATGCTAAAACTTAATTGAGCAGCAGATAATCATCCTTGTGAAATTCTGCACATAATGTACTGTAATTGGCCAACAAAGTTCAAGACTTACCTATAACAAGAGAATTAAATGATGGAACAAAAATTCTGAAAACAATTTGGCAGCAACGAGACACAATGGCACGAAATTAGCAACCAATGACAGTATCAAAACACAAGTTCTCAACATATTTTGCCAGAAGACGACAACCAAGATCATAGGAATAATGAACAACACAACTGACAACAGGCAAACAATAAAGAGAAATGTTACAGCAGCCAAGCAAGACAGAGAAGAACAGGAGGGGAGGCTTACCGTCCAGAAAGTCCATTAGAATTTCCAAAAGCGGCATTAGCAAGAGGAGGTGCAAAATTTGTTCCCACGATCTCTATCTTCATAGGTTTCCCATCAAGCTGAACCTTGCTGTACCTCTTAACAGCAACCACAGCTTCAGCTGGCCGTATGAAGACAACTTCTGCGTTCCCTGAGAAAAAAAAAAAGGCATTCTGAACTACAACAGGACACAAAGAATCCATCAGAAGTACGTAGGGTATGCCAAGCATGAGTGAGATACCATCGATCTGCCGCCCCGGTCGTGATGGATTGAATACCTTTTCAGTTCACCCACTTCGGAATAAAATCCCTGCACATAGTTTACTCATCTATCAATGGATGGGGAAGCGGCGAGCAGGACCGGTTCCGGAAGGGCGGTCTCGTCCACGGCCCGGGACATACAGAATCCGGATTTTTTTGCTATTTTTTATGATGTCATCAAGGGACATGTCCAAAGTGCTTGACATTTTATTTTTCTTTTAACTTAAAATCAGAAAAATAAGATGGAGAAAGCAAGAGAGGAGGAAATTGATTTACGAGGAGGAGGAGGAGTGTTTCCTCGAAGTAAGAGAGTGTGCTTCAGAGAATGCCCAAAATGTTTAAAGTGTTGGAGGTCATTGGCGCGTACTTCCACGCTCTTTTTCATATCTCTATGTAAACATTAAAATAAAGTATAAAGATTGGCATAAAGGTGTCGTGGTGTAGTTGGTTATCGCGTCAGTCTAACGCACTGAAGGTCTCCGGTTCGAGTCCGGGCGACGCCAGTTTCATAGCTTTTATAGCTGCTTTGGGATTCTCTTTTCCATCTTCTATGCAATTTTGTTTGCCTCACCTAAAAATTTGAATCTCACTCCTCTAGGTGGTTTTTTTAAAACAATTTCTGTTTTTTTTCTTTTCATTCCTAAAATTTTTTAAAAAAATATGCATAAAAAAATATTAAAAAGAGTTATTAACAAGATAAATTTAAAAATTAAGAAATAGATACAAGTTAAAATATATGATATGGTGTGACTAAGAGTTTTAATTTTTTATTTAATTATATGAGAATAAAAATATTATAAGAATAGTAATAATTTAAATTTAATTGAAACAAAATAATTTGCTAGGAAATTCCTCATTTTCTTATTAATCTTTTTTAATTTATGTTTTTTATTTATTAAAATTCATAAGCAATCAAAACAAATATAAAAAATGAAACTAAATGATTTGAAATAATAATAAAAAAGTATCTTTCTAGTGAAAACACATCTGTCTCACTAAAGCGCTTTATTTTTTTTGGCAATTTTTTTTATTAAAATATTTATTATTTATACAACATATCATATACAAGAAAAGGTCAAATACATCTAAAACCTTTACACGTAGAAAAGATAGCATTGAACTCAGGGTGCCGTTCATGCATGGTGATCATAGATATTGGTAAAATATAATTAATCACATATAACTCTGTGGTTTATATTTATAATTAAGTTCTATGAAAATGCATTGAGAAATACAACTTTTATGAAGATTGCAATACACGCATGGAGATTGGATCATGGCTCCTTACTCCATTTTATTCTTTTATTCTAGGTACAGTCCACAGTTCCACAGCATTCCTTAAACAATTATCACGAGAATATATCGCAGTTTTTGGATCTTAACCAATTACAGGGACTAGATAAACAATGCCATGTTTATCAACCCAAACCCAAACCCTATCGCACCGAAAATTCTCGATGATTGATGATCCTTCTGGCGCAATTATAGCTTCAACCAGAGAGTTCTCTCTCTCGATCGTTTCGACAGCGCACTTCCCGTCTACTCCAAGAAGCTCCGGCCATGAACTCTTACCTGTATTGTACACAAGTTAAATGTTTGTCAAGACAAACTATGGACATGACGTTTTCAATTACTGCTTAATTTCAGAGAGAAAGAATATCCATTACCTTGACAGATAGATGTCATTTCTTCTCCTTGTCACCTTTAAGTATTGTTTCCAGCTAGCTTGTTCTGATTTAGTTTTGTTGAGATTGAGGTGAGCATATTTATAGCGTAGCATTCATAATTGATGGCCATTGGTTGGTAATCATTGACTTTTATTCTAGCAGCCAGCCAATAAACTAGTAATTAAGTTCGCAAGTTGATTGCTTTGGCAGCGATAAGGATAAAAAGGATGCATGCATGTTTTCGTATGAACATCTAGCTAGCTGGTTGCCCACCCTTACACTATTGTATTTTATGTTTGAAAGATTTTGTGCAGGAGTGTAGGTAGGATTATTCCTGAGGGGCGGCTAAACGTTATGGAGTTATTTTTATCTTTATAATATAGTTATTATTTTAATTTTGTTAGTATTTATATTTATTAAATACAAACATACAAAATATATAAAAAATATTAGGTAAAGCAAAGTATTATTTATGTTTGATAAACTTTGAAATAACATAAAAATGATTTTTATTAATTTATTTTAATTGTACTCATCGTTCTTTTATTATGGATCTTTCAATAATTTTTTTCTATATTAATAATCAAATAATATTCAAGAAAATTATTCTTCATCTAATTATAAAGTCTTGTTTTAACAATCTTCATCGCTGAAAAAACTTTTTCAATAGTTGTCGTTGAAATAAAAAAAAATCGAAATAAGCTGAATCAAACTGTTAATAAATGGATAAATTATTGATTTTTTCATTTCAACCAATCCTTGACATAAATCAACACCCAATGACATATTCCTTAACTTTGGATGATTGGGCACATCAAGTTCATAATGCTGCAACTAAAATCTCAAATGAATTTTTTCTTTGTCGAAAAAATCTTCAAGATAGAACTTGTCAACAACTAAGCATATATTTTCACTATTGAATAATTTATAGATATTTTTAAGATCTAAATTTATACTCAACTTAAGAAGCTCAATCGCCTGCTAATCGAATCTATTATTTATCTCTTGCAATTATTAATTAATGATAGCTATAAATATATCAACTCGGTAGTGATGTTCCACTTTTACTGATTTGTTTTACAGCAAGAACGTTCCACACTAGAAAAACAAGTATATCAGGAATTTCAATGTCTTGATACTTACAAAATAATGTACTACCACAATCTTTAGATTTACCGATGGAATTTTTCATCGATATTTGTACTACTATTTTGTTAATAAAAAAATTACTAACGAAAAGTCTTCATCGGTGAATCTTTCATCAGTAATTTTTTGTCAATCGATAAGTCCGTTGGTAATAAAAAAAAATATTGTTGATGGATATACTAATAGAAAAGGTGAGCAAAAAAAATTTCATTCCATCAATAATTCTCTCGGAAAAAAACTGTACGTAATTTTGCTGGTAATTATTTAAAAATATTTAAAAAAATATTCTATAAAACTATAAAAATAATTAAATTAATATTAATCAACACTTTATAATACTCGAAATGCTTGGAAAAAAAAGAAGAAAATCAACTCAAAAAAATTTGCAACAAATAAATAACACAAAAAAATAAATTCAACTAAAAAAATTCATATGAAAAAAATTTAAATATCCTATAAAGAAATCAACTAAAAATTGATATCATATAAAAACAATCCTATAACAACATTCATAAAATTATTAAAAACAAAAACAATAAAAAATAAATATAGTGAAAAAACACAAAAAAAAAAGAAATTTTTTTCTTTACCTTAAACTGCAAGTGAAGCCAAGAAGAGAAAAAAAAATGTAAAGTATAGTAATTAAAAAAACTGAGAAGAAAAAATAAGAAAGGAAAAAAAGACATATATGAGCATGGAGAAGAAAAGAAGGAGTTTAGGAGAGAAGAGAAAAGGAAAGGGAACGGGTCTGTTGTGAAATTAGGGATTCTAGACTTTTATTGGGCATTTTACTGATAATTTTACCAATGAATAATTAAATATTAATATTTTTAATCATTATATCGATGATTTTATCCGTAATATTTAATTTAAATTTTGAATTTAATCAAAAATTTTCAGAAACCTCCAAATATCACCAATGACTTTTCAATCCGTTGATGATTTCATCTGTAATATTTAATTTAAATTTTTCAGAAAACAGTCAAATAACATCGATGAATTTTCAATCCGTCGGTAATTTTATATGTAAAGAACCGTAATTAACAATGTAATTGGAAAGTGAATAATTCCAAAACTCTCTGTAAAATACCGATGGAATGTTTCATCGACAATTTTCTTTGTAATTAACATGATGAATAATGTTGATAATTTACCAAGGATTTTACTAACGGAATTACCAATGAAATAAACTTCGTCGGTAATTCCATTGGTAAAAATGGCACATCATCATTTTTTTAGCTTTGTTTTAATTTTGTTTTTCATTGTAATTCCCTCGATAAATACCAAGGGAATATGTCCATCGGTAAAATTCATCGACAATTTACCAACAAAAATATTCTCTCGGTATTTTTATTTGTATTTATCAATTTTCTAATAGTGATGTCACTTCTTCTAAAAGAGTTTCTCAATCACCATCTCTTAACTTTTAAATTAAAGTCTTTATGATAGTTACCAAATGCATAACATTTAAAATGTCTTGAGATTTTTGTTGCAACGCATGGTAAAGCACATCAATAATTCTCATAATATTCTTCATTACATGTAAGATAAATGCAAAATCAAATGACATTAACAACTTAAATAAAAAAACCACATCACCATATAGAGAATAAGTAAATCTATCTAAAGTAGTGTTTTCAAGAGTCAAGCAAGTTGCCCCATATATTTTTATCAAACTGCAAATTAATTTGACATACAAACTCCATCTATTATCTCCAGATCATTGCAAACCACCTATTTGATTGACTTTTTTACTCATTTCAATCTCATTAATATTGACTAAACTTTCAATTTTAATTGCTTGGAAAGCCCGTAATTCATTATATGCTTGCAAGAAGTATTAACAATGTTAACAATAAAAATCAAATTCTAAAAGAAAGTATGAACATCAGATATTTCTCTAGCTGCAGTATTAAGAGTCAATTATAATTGATGAGCTAAGCAATGTACGTAATATGTATAAAGGCAATCATTAATGAATAAAGCTTGCAAACTATTCTACTCTTCACGCATATTACTAGCACCATCATACCATTGGCCCCTAATATTTTGAACATCAAGATTATGATGAGATAAAACAAAGAAAATCTCTTCCTTAAAAGTTAAAATAGTTGTATCTTTGACATAAACTATATCCAAAAATTATTCTCATATAAATCCATTTCTATCAACAAATTTAATAACAAGGGTCATTTGCTCTCTTCTGGATTCATCTTGAGTTTCATCAATAATTAAACAAAATCTTGCATCACCAATCTCATGATAAATTGAAGAATGAACATTTCTGGCAAAGACATAATTTATTTTTTTTTAGTTTAATGTGAGGTGTATTTAATATTTTGTGGAGCATTACCCAAAACAAAAGTACCTACTTGTTTATTGTATGGTGCTAAAAGTTCCACCATTTTAAGAAATTACTTTGGTTTTTTTTTTTTATTTAGAATGTTTACCATGCCTTCTAAAAGCATATGTATGAAATGTGAGTCAATGAATAATATCTATTAAAGCTTTAAAACGCAATTGATTATTTAGAATTTCTTGAGTAGTTTGCCTCTTAACTACCTTTTTCAATATAACATGACTTATCTTTCAAATTTTCCAAGCACCTGGTAGTAAATTTATAAACTAAATTTGAACATTTTCTCATATGATTCAAAAAAACACATCATTCCTCATTATTAACTTTCTTCCAACAAATGAATCATTTAACAATAAATGTTTTGATCCTGGCTTTCTAGATAGCTAACTTAGAAATAGATAGAAACGAAAACAAAATATAGTATATTTCTCTGAATATTCAAGCCATGGATAACTTTTGAACCAATAAGACTAAAATCGACAGGGATGTTTTTCATCAGTCAACTAATATTCAGACATCAAAGGATGATATGGCCCCAAATTAATGTATGCCTTTTAAATTTCATCTAGTTGATTAATCAGGTATTTCTAAATTTGAGGGTGATTGTTTAGATCTCAAATTCAATTAGCAATATTGATTCTAGCAGGAGGTTGCTCACTAATCAATACAAGTTCTTCGTAAACTAAAGTACATTGGGGCTACTCAACTATAACTTCAACATTACACATCAGAGTCAGTTCACTAGACAGTGAGTTATCAATATTTTTTTTCTAAAAAAAAACATTTTTTCTTATTTTGTTTATGGTTCAACCTAAAATCAAAACGCTATAAATTTTTATTGTTTTCTATTTTAAAAATGAAGACAAATGACAATGTGTTGAAACAATAATTAGAACCGAAAATAAATTTTTACATGTAAACCACATATATAAAAGCAAAATTAACATATTAAAAAAAACTGATATATAAAAGCAAATCTGACATAAAAATGGGATTATTGCTTCCTAAAGAAAAAAACTTACATTAAATCAAAGTTGGATATGCACTCTTCAAAGAATTCAATTTAGCTAGAAGGATTATGTCTAATTGTTTATTGGATCCGGTGTCGTATAAGGGAAAAAATTAGTAATTTTGGTGGCTCTCTAGAAACAAAACATAAAAAAATTCAAATATAATTAAAACAAACCTATAAAATATATCCAATTAATTAGAAAAAAAAACATTCATTATAACAAGAATTTAAAAAAATAAATAAAACTAGAAGCTAGGGGAAAAGTAAAAAAGACAAAATTATAAAAAAAAAAAAAAAACTTTATAAAACTCTGAACAAATATCTCAAAACAAAATAAAAATAGATTTTAAATTTGAATAATCAATTACCTTGTTTTGATGAAAAATGAATTACTTAATGGCTTTCCACTTCTTCATTTATATTTTTATTTTTATTTTTTACTTTTTTGTGTTAGGGCTCTGAGGAGACTATACCAATACAAGAGGAGAGTTACAGCCTCCTATTATATTCAAAAACCTTAACTTGGTATCAGTGTTCCACTATAACAACAACTTTTATGGATCCAAATCAATCTATGCTCTTCCCTTCTTC